TGTGCAACATTTTTTTCCACACACTGATTCTTTAAACATTTTAAAAGTGGGTATAGTTTGTCATCAATCTATATAAAAAAAAGAATGAATATAAAAAAATGCACCAGCTGTTGCATCTACTAAATATACCGGAAGAGAGGCAGTATTTCCATGTATTTTTTGATTTGCAGATGTACAATCAGGTTAACGAGAGAAATCTGTTTTCATATTGCCTTTTCATATTTTCTTGAAAATGCTGGGACTAACAATTCTTGGAATACAATGTATAAACTAACGTGTTAGAACAAGGTCCCTTTAACTCTCAAATAAAGTAAAGCCCTTTAGCTTGTGCTTTCAAGGGTGAAGTTGCCCCCAAATATTTTTTATGTTGTTTTATTGCTTTTCAAATGGTATTTTAAAATTCTGTTCAACAGAACAGAAACATAGAATAGCAACAGAGAATAGCTGAGTTTCCTCTAAGAAGTCCAGGATATCAATATGCAATTTCCTATTATTTTAATTAACTTACAGTCTGAAAGAAATGTTCAGGACTCTCATTACTGGCATCCATATTTTACACTATTCAGTTATTATGGAATGAATTCCCTTTTGAAAACTCTCATTTTTACTCTTTAAAAATTAACAGATCACTCAATGACTTTCCTCGTCTAAAATGGAGAATTGACTTCTGGACTGTTTTAAATGGAAACATTTATGGAGTGTCTATTTTTATAAAATCTGAGTTTTGGAAGACTAATACTGAAGAAAAGTTCGAGTGTACCATCAAAGGAAAACAAGTTCCTTCTTCTGTGTCCATATGGGTAAGCATGCTAATGACACAGAAGCTACTGCTAAACACAAACATTGTATTTGACATCCAAGCATTAATACTACACGACTGCACTCTGTTGCTGTAAGAAATACAGCTCTTCTTTACCCACAGAGGCCTCTGATACTATGCTTACAAACCAGCAGAATTTACCTGTACTCAGTGTGGAAGGATGCAGTGGACTTTGGCTACCCAAGATGTTCATTCTTGTGCTACGTTTCTATAGAGAAAAGGAATTACTGTTAAATCCACTCTAACGCCTCAACAGAAGAGAATTAGTGCACATGCAATACAGATTTAATTTACAGGAAACTGGGGGCTGGGCAAGTTTAATGCAAGGATGAGAAAAAGAAATGCAACTTTGAAGGGGGCTAATCTACAAGCAGCAGCTCATTTCAGTTGGCTTAAAACACAAGCCAGATGTTAATGATGAAAGCTCAGTATCTAAAAAAAACCAACAAAACAACAAAAAAAAGGAACAAAAAGAAAAAAATGACAGAAAAAAGAAAAGTCTGATATGTTTCTGCTCAGGCAAAACACCAGGCACTCAGTAAATCAAGCAGAATTTCCCTCCCGTACATAAAGCACCAGCTAATGCTTCAGTAATGACTCCTATTCCCTAAGAGACGAGCATGTGGGAAAACTTGTACTGCAGCTGTCTGTCCACAAGACACTATAAACAAGTTACATCAGTTTTCATTGCAAGAGGTTCTGCCTCTTGTATATTCTGCAATTAAACTTACTGGGAGCAAGCCATTAGTCAGAGCCCCAGCCTCTTCCATGTGGGGAAGCATTTAATTTGACATATTCCTCCTCAGAGACTGGTTTTGCAAACTGGCAGTAAAGTTCTGGTGGGTCTGCTTTCCCCCTCAACTTTCCTCTGGACACTAGGGGGACAGAGAAGCAGTGGTAGAAGGTTGTTGTGAATGTGACAGTTTTGCTAAAGATGGATATTGACTTTCAGATCTGCATGCTTGCAGTGTGATTGCTTCAGGTCGGAGCTAAGCTATACTGTGACCAGCACTGCACTAACATCATAGCACACTCTGTGTTTTGGCTCTCAACAGACACTTACTGATTACAAAAATAGAAAAGAAGAGAAGATAGCTACCCTCCAAGCATGTCCTTCTTCCAAGGCAGCACTCTGTGCTTCA